GTGATCTGCCGTCAGCCTGAGCAAAGGCTGCCTGTGCTTACAGGTTCCCCGTGCCCTGGAAAGGAGGTTGATCCCACACAGCAAGTGGAGGTGGAGGTGGAGGAGGACCCGGGTCCAGCCCAGTCGCCAGGCCCAGGGTGGCGCTCTCGCTCTCGTCCCGTCAGCTGCTCCAACTTCTGGCTTCTCCTACGCCTCCGTAAAACACACGGTCCCTGTTTTTAGTGCCAGGCTGGCATTTCTGATGTGCTGCTGTTGCAAAAATTCAGTACCAGATGCAACAGAAATCCTGATTTAAAGGCCCCATTTATAATGGGGATGAAACTTGTTTAGCAAATAAACAAATAGATTGCTGTGGTAGACTGGCCGCTTCAGATCTCGTCAAATGGAAGAGTCCCGTGTGTGTTCTTCCCTGAGGAGTCCCGCTTAGACACTGGCCCCATCTATGGAGCACACGAGCCTGTGCGCGAGTACTCGTGTGTCTTTGTGTTGATTTGTTTGTCCTAGTGAGTCAGCCAGAGGAGGAGGAAGCCAAGGAGCTCCCCGCCTGGAGGGAAGTTGTAGAGGAGCAGCAGGTCCAGGTAGTGGCTCAACACCCAGATCTTCCAGCTCACGAACCACTCTCAGGGCCACGGTCAGATACTGCATATTTCAGGGGAGGAAAAGATCATTTTCTCCCTGCCCGTCGTAGTTCATACTTGGGACAGACTGCTGTAACAAGAGGAAGACAAACAGAAGCTTAATAACGCGTACAACTCGTGTTGTATACACGGGAGATACCCAGAAAATGAGTAAACCTCCAAGAGGTGGTGCAGACTTCAGGCTTAAATACCCTTGTCCTCCAAAACAGAGACGAAAGGTGTGAGGAAGGCCGGTGCAGGGAGGCACCCAGGGAAAGCAGTTAACAAGCGCGAGGGGTGTGAGGCGGATTCTCCATTGGCAGGAGTCTTAGGATTTAGTCATCCTTCTCTCCCTGGGACAGAAAGGAAGACACCCTACCAAATGGAGATTTCCTTTATAGACATAAATTTCTTACAAAAGGGTAACTTCTGTTTTCAGAGATTCTCCTATGTCTGCAGATTCTCAAAATAATCCTATGCCAACAAGGCATATTTTGGGGTGGTATATTCTGGTCTTCTACAGTCATATTTAGGGGTGGCATATTCTGGTCTCCTGCAATATAAAGTGCCCTGAGCCTGTGTTGGTGGGAACCACGTACATTGTCATCACGGCAGGAACAGACAGTGATGGGGGTCCCAGGACAGTAGGGACCGAGACCAGCTTGCTTAGTCTCTCATAGTATGGGCAGGATCACCTTGGCCACTGGTTTTCAAATATTTTGGTTGTGAGAGCCCCTACCGCTACCTCAGTGCATCGGTATATAAAACCGATGTAAATACCATTCTGTTAATGCAGATTTCTAAGCTTGAATGTCTGCTCAGTAGGTGGGCCCGTTTGCATGATATAAAATATGAATGGTACTTGCAGTCCTGATCAGCTGTAGCATCCACTTCCCTTCTGTGTTTTGTTCTGGTTGCACGGTCTTGAGAAAGTCCACGTCCATCCAGATCCGTGTTGCCAACTGTTGTTTAAATGGCTCTTCTTGTAGTTCTAAGAAATTCTTTGACTAGAAGGATGATAGGAGAAGCATTGTTACGAAGACTGCCCAATGACAGATTTCTCTGGTCACCCATGTTAATGCACTGGGCCTCTGAGTATTAGAATTTAGCAACAGCAAATATGCTGGGGGGAGTATTGTGTTTATTACAAATTGTTAAATAGTTAAGGTGCATTGAAAGAGTGAAATTAGAGTAACATTTGCTGAACGTTTGCAATCTTTGTAAATCTGATCTGGCTTGACTTCTTAGCTTACAAATGAGGAAACTGAAGCCCAGAGACCTCGCGGATTTGCCAGGGTCATACATAGCAACTGAGACTAGAACTGTGTTTTCAGGTCACTTGTCCCATGTTGTCCTGAACCCCTGGGTCCCAGGGCTGAGTAGTCCCTCACATTCTGAGAGCCTGTGCGTGGGCTCTCTGCCAGGATGACTCACTCAACACACGCCTTGGTGTCAGCTGCCCTCTCGTGAGGGCCATGGCTGGGTTTACCAGTTACCTCCTTGGAGCTACAAGGGACCATGTCCCACTGCATGCAGAGTCTGTCCTGCCACAGAGAACTGAAGAGAACCTGCCATCAGAATTGTCTGTGCCTGATAGAAAAATGCTGCTGCTTTGTCAGAGCATCTTGGCAGCTGGCAGATGCCGGCTCGTGCTGCCCGCAGTACTGCCTGGGAAGCCAGCAGTCAATTCCTGATCTGTGTCTCCTCTCGTCCCCCACCTGTGCCTTCAGTGCTGTCTGCTGTGACCATAGATCACTACAGAGCCCTTTATAGACATATCCTTCTGGAGAAATATGGTGACCTCCTTCCTAAAAAGAAACAGGCTGCCCAGGTGGTGAGTAATAGCGAGTGGGACGTTCAGAGTTGGCCGGGCTGACGGACCTCTCCTGACCTCCCTGGGCTGCTGCGTAGACCCGTACCAGGGGCTGGTCTGTGATGAGGCCACCGAAGAGGGGCCAGTCCCCTCACTGCTGAGGTCCACACCGACTGAGGACCCAACGGGAAGTGAGAGCTGACTTACCCTCCTGGAAGGATGGAGAGGAGTGGGTGCTTTCCCCGCCGTGTCCTAGGTCTGACCTTTACATCCTTAGGTCCCCAAGGATAGGGCAGCCTGCTGCCCTGGCTCCCTCCCGTGAGTCCCCCCTCCTCCCTCTCTGGTGGAGGATCCTCCCCTCACCCGCCTTGGAAGCAGAGCTCAGGTCACCCATCCAGCAGATGTGGATACCCCCATGACGTGAAGAGGTGAAGTCAGCAGCCAGGCCACACTGTGACCCTGAGGACAGTCCACAGAGACTTTGTCCTTGGAGGAGCTGCCATTTGTCTCAGATCAGGCCCACGTGTCAGGCTTGCATCCTCTCAGGTGTGGTGCTCTGGAGGGGTTAGGCCGTGGCCATGCTGGTTAGCAGCCGGGGTCAGTGTGTGCAGAGGAGGTCACAGATCGGGCACTGACTCGCAGCTTCCCCGGGCTTTACTGTGGGTGCCCGAGGGGGCATCTGCCAGCTGTCCTGAGAGGGCTCCAAGGGGACAGGCAGACCTAGGCGTGCGTGTGTAAGGCAGCATTCCCGAGCCCGTGGAGTCCTGGGCTGCACTGAGGTGCCCGGGACACTGAGCCAGGTCCACCCTTTCTAATAGGAGGCCCACAAATGACCCTCTTAGCAGTTTTCGAACTATGTATGAACCAGGTCACTTGTGTACATTCTTTTGTGTTTTGTTTCTTTGAATCAACGGTTAAATTTGAGACTGACCCAGTCTGTTGCAATTGGCCTCACGGTGTTTATTTTCGTGGACGTGTAGCATTCTGTCATGTGACTGCACCGCAATTTCCTGACACATTCTACTGCTCGTGGCCACTGGGCTGCTGTGACCAGTGCTGCCCGAGTTTCTGGTGCACCCCAAGAGCGCCTGCAGGGCGCCGGTCTGCAAGTGGGGTGGCCAGGTCTCAGAACACATGTGTCTGCCACTCACTAGTGTCAGCCTGTTTTCTGTGGCAGCCGCCCCACTTCCCTCTCCCAGCAGTGCACGGGCATTCCCGCCGTCCCACATCCGTCTCAGTTACCCGGATTACTGACGAGGTGTGGCGCTTTTCCTAAGTTCGTTGGCATTTGGACTTTGCCTTTCGAAGGGCCTATTCCTGTGTTTCCCGTTTTCAGCCTGAGAGGCCTGTTTACTAACATGCAGGAACGCTTCTGTATTCTGGAAGCTGGAAATGTGTAGGTTCGAGGCTGTATTTAAAAACGGTTGTCCCAGGCAGGCACCAGGGGTAGAGCCACAGCATCACACTCGACCACCGCATTCCTCCTCGTGTCGCCCCCCTGGGAATCTCCATCCCGCTCCGCTCAGCCCCTTCCTGCCCCCTTGTCCCACAGAGGAGCTTGTCGGGGATTGTCTCTGCCACTACTACTGTCCTTTCTCTAGACGGTGATTCACAGGATGCAGCAGAAGCGCTTCTGCACCCAGCTTTTTACTGCCCCCTCACCCAGTTAAGAATCGGGGAGCAGGGAGGCCAGCCACTGACTTGAGGGTGTCACGAGTACCTCTTTCCCTTCGTGCCATCTTTGTTTTATCCTGAGCTAACTCCCCACAGCACCCCCGCGATGGGCAGCTCGGCTGCTTCTGGGGTCACACTGGCTTGTTTACCCACGCACTCAAGGCCCCTGCAGTTGGGTGCTCTTCATTTTCATCCTGGAGTTCCTTACTCTGAACCCTGACGTGTAAAAGAGATTGCGAGCTCCAGGAAGGCAGGAATGATGCTATACGCTCTTGACTGCATCGGTAATTACTGCATCGGTAATGAGTGAAATGTTATGACTTAGGGTAAGAAGCCAGACTGGACAATAGCACTAATCTCTGTGTGTGTCACAGTACATTCTGGTTATCTCCTGCTGTGAAAAATGAAAAGAAAACATCGTCACTTCTGAATCTACAGTTTGGGCCAGGCATGGTGGGGATGGCTCACCTCTTCCCACATGGCTGCAGCTGGTGTAGCTTGACTCAGGCTGGGGATCCACTTCCAGGATGGCTCATGCACGTGGTTGGCTGCCCAGTGCTGGCTGCCTGCTGGAAGCTCACCTGGGACTGTCAACCACACCTTGGTTCTCCCTGTGGGCATCACCACAGGGCTGCTTGGGCTTCCTCACAATATGGCATCTGCGTTCCAAGAAAATGCAAGTAGCCCGTCTCTTAGGACCTGGGCCCAGAAGGTCCAGACACTGGCACAGAATCGTTCTGCTGTGTTCTATTGGTCAAAGCCGTCACAGCCCACCTAGCTCAAAGAGGGAGGATGCGTAGACCCCTACCTCCCAGTGGGAGAAGTGTCAAAGAGGTCGTGTTCATCTTTAAAGCACCACATGCTAACAATTCCCCCTCCCTGTGACTTTCCTTTAGCCCTGACTGCTGCTGCGGGAAGAGGGAAGCTGGAGGTCTGTGAGCTGCTGCTGGGGCGTGGAGCTGCTGTGTCCCGGACGAACAGGAGAGGGGTTCCACCCTTGTTCTGTGCAGCACGCCAGGGACATTGGCAGGTACCCAGTGGGCCCTGAATGCTTCAGAAGCAGTGAGTGGGGATTGAGTTCACCATTGCCCTTCTCCCGAAACCACGTGTGGCTCCCCCGGTCCGTCTCTTTCCCCATTCTTGGCTTCTCCTTGTGCTGTCAGGACTACTTGATAGACATTTGCCACGTTGACATAGTCGGCCACGAGGCTGGGGAGCAAGGCCGGAGCCAGGTCAGAGACACACACAGGGAGATGTGGAGCGGGTGGCCCATCATGGCAGTAGGAGCTTTGCTCTGGCGTACACATGCTTGTTGCTGTTTGGTGACCCAGTTGTCCCACATACTTGGAAAAGGAGACGTCGTCCCTCTGGGTCAGCACTGTGACTCTGGCTGGTTTTCTGCTGTGAATGACACGCTGTCATCTTTAATTCAAGGGAGCAGGGGATCCCTGTTCCTTTAGTGTGTAAACAGTGACCACATCCCTGCCCCACACCTAGCACCAGGTTACACACAGCTACAAACACAAAGGGTCTTCTGGCCATTGTAGGAAGAATTTTCTAGATCAGGGCTTATATCATGGAATCGTGTCCCTGCGATTCCTGCTTGCTGCATTGGTGGAGCTGTGTGCACTACCCCCAGGATTTCAACTTTTCTCCTGCCTGTTCTGAGAGGTCGGTTTGCACCTTCTGTTCCCTGCCACCTCACCGCTTTGACCTGAGGCCCTGGCTCCTCCTCCCTCCCGGTCTCAGCATTTCTCATGTTGCAGGGAAGTTTGGAAAGCAATTGTTAGTGCATAAAGAGCACGAAGGCAGTGGGAATGGGGAGGTGATGCAATAACGCGCCCGGGAGGGACTCTGGGCTCACCGGTAGGTAGAGCAGTTCCCACTGGGCTGGTGGTCGTATGAGACCCCTGTCTGGTTTTTGTGTTTTCTCCCAACCTTACCACCACGCTCAGTTTAAAGATGCATCCCGGAGGCTGCAAATCTCCTTTGGGAGCCTTCGCTAGAAGTTGCCCTCTGCAAGGGGCAAGCTACCCACCAACCCCGAGTCTAGGGAAGTGTACTGCTTGGGGGTGTGGTGGGTGAGAACCGCCTTCTGCGCCCTCTCTCTGCCCTGCCCTGCTGCAGGGGCTTAGTTAGCCTCAGTGTCAGCTTGGGACCCGCACAGCCATTGCTCGGTTGAGTTGGGCTTAGTTACCGCACATCTCCCATGTGGCCGTCTGGTCCCGACTCCGTTGCAGTTGGCCTCCCGCCTCCTCTAAACAACAGTTTCCAGCTGGGGTGTGTTTTGTAGGTATTAGTAATGAATCAGGCATGTTAAAAGGGCCATATGTTTGGGAAAAGATTCTGTTTAAAGGAATACAGTGGAAAGATTTTACAGGCACCATGGATCACAGAACTTAGAGGGATTTTTAAAAGAGTCGTTTGACTACTGTTGAAGGTCAAGAAACCTGTCTGGGTTTAGAGAATGTGGTTGAAATGCAGCAGGGAGATTGTAATTCCCAGTGTCTCTTTCAGATTGTTAGGTTGCTGTTGGAACGCGGCTGTGACGTGAACCTAAGTGACAAGCAGGGCCGGACGCCCCTCATGGTGGCTGCTTGTGAAGGGCACTTGAGCACGGTGGAATTCCTCCTTTCAAAAGGTAGCGGCATGGCGCCTGCATAGGTTTCTGTCAGGTGGACCAAGAGAGGGCTTTGGCACACCCGCGCAGTACTTTCTGATTGAGATCTCAAACGTTCTACCAGCCACACCAGCAGAGAGAACAGGTGGCGCAGCCCACACGCCAGGACTCGGCCTCAGCGTGCTGGTGCCTGGTCGAAGTGCCACCCGGAGAGTTTGCCTCCGGGCTTTGTCATCTTGCAAGGTTCATGCTCTGTGAATGGGTTTTTCTTTCAGGTGCCGCCCTTTCTTCTCTGGACAAAGAGGGCCTGTCAGCGTTGAGCTGGGCGTGTCTGAAAGGTCACAGGGCGGTGGTCCAGTACCTGGTTGAGGAAGGAGCTGCGATAGACCAGACAGACAAGAATGGCCGCACGCCCTTGGACCTGGCTGCCTTTTATGGTGATGCCGAGACTGTGAGTGTTCACTCCCCTCCACCTGCACGGGACAGAAGCCTCAGGAACTGACCGGTTCCAGGGTCTTCGTGAGGCTGTGCCTGAATGTGGTGTATGTGGCGGGGGATCTTTCATTTTTCTCTAATTCAGTGACATGCACTCTACTCCGGGACTGTAGTAAAGGTGTTGCTAGACTTAAAAGCTTAAAAATATCTGCTTACAAACTGCATATACAACGGACACATATGTGAATATGTATACACACATGCACGTGTGGTTTTCTCATAGTAATCCATATAAATAAAATTCCTGCATAGATCATTTAGAAACCACTTTTATATGTGAGAAATTGCTAAGCAATGATTAGCTGGTTGATTGGTTTTTATTTTTTTGTTTTATTATTTATTTGTTTTTTTAGAGCTGGGGTCTTGCTGGTTGTCCAGGCTGGGGTGCAGTGGTGCAGTCGTAGCCCCCTGCAGCTTCCAACTGTAGAGCTCAAGCGACTCTCCCACCACAGCCTCCCCAGTAGCTTGAACCACACACGGCTTTATTTTTAATTGACAAATAATTGTATATATTTATGGGGTACAGTGTGATATTTCAGTATGTGTATACACTGTGGAATGATCAAAACAGGATAATCAACATATCCGTCACTCAAATATTTATCACTTCTTTGTGAGAACATTTAAAATCCTCTTTGAGTTATTCTGGAGTAAACAAAACATTATCGTTAACTATAGTTGTGACGCTGTGCAGTAAACACCAGCGCTTGCTCCTCCTAACTCAAACTTTGTACCCTATGACCACCCTTCCCCTGCCCCTCCGGCCTCTAGTAATCACCGTTCTCCTCTTTGCTTCTAAGATCCCATATAAGTGAGATGACAGTCTCTGTCTATCTGTGCCTGGCTTCTTTCGCTTAGCACAGTGTCCCCCAGCTTCATCCAGGTGGCCACAAATGAAAGAATTTCCTGCTTTTTAAAGGCTGAATAGTATTCCATTATATATGTATACTGGTTGGTTTGTTCTGAAAGCGATGTGGCATTGCCTAAAATAACATAAAAAGCTTTGGGCACTATCTTGATCTCCTTGCCAAATGCCTAATTCTACTCGAGGTGTGAGGGGATACAACCTTCACAAACCAAGAACTACGAAATATCTCGGAAACTGCCCTTGTCAGGTTCCACGTCCCAGACACAAGCAGGTGCCAGAGGAATATTCAGCTACTTGAGAGGTGACATTTTAATCGTTCGTTGTGCCTCGTGTGAGGATTAGCCGGAGAGACAAGTGCGGACCAGGCAGCAGAAGCCGCGGCCCTGCGCGTCTGAGTCCTGGTGCTTTGAAAGGCAGCGCCGTTCAGAGGATCCGTTTCCTGTGCCTCGTGAACTGTACTGCACGCCGATCTTCAAAACCAGATGTTTAACTAAATCACACATATCTGCACTTTACTTTTCAGCTACCTTCCCAAATTCTGTAGTTTATCAATATAAGGGAAGAGTGAAGGAGCTTAGTATTCTAGTGTTGTTTAAAAGAAATTTTGTGGTAAAAACACATAGCATAAAGTTTCCTCTTAACCATTTCTAAGCATATAGAGTTCAGTAGTGACAAGTACATTCACGTTGCTGTACGACCAGTGTCCACACCTTTTCATCTTGCAAAACCGAAACTCTGTATTCATTAGACAATAACTTGTTCCCACCTCCTCCCTCCCCTAGCAACACCATTCTACTTTCTAACTCTGATTTTGGCTATGCTAGGTACCTCATTCAAGTGGAATCACACAGTATTTGTCTTTTTGTGACTGGCTTATTTCACTTAATGTCCTCAAGATCTATCCATGTTGTAGCATATGTCAAAATTTCCTTCTTTTTTAAGGCTGAATAATATTCCATTGTATGGATATGCCACATTTTGTTTAGCCATTCATCCATCCGTGGACACTTGGGTTGCTTCCATGCTTTAGCTATTGTGGATAGTGCTGCTGCGAACACGGGTGTGCAGACATCTCTGAGACCTCACTTTCAATTCTTCTGGGTACGTACCCAGAAGTGGAATTGCTGGATCATATGGTAGTTCTATTTTTAAATTTTTGAGGAACCACCATACTGTTTTCCACAGCAACTGCCCCATTTTACATTCCCACCAATAGCGTACAAGGGTTCCAACTTACCCACATCCTCACCAACACTTCTCAGACTTTTTTAATAGTGGCCATCCTAGTAGGTGTGAGTTGGTATATGGTAGCTCTGATGTGCACTTCCCTAGTGATTAGCGATGTTGCCCGGCATGCCCCCACCCCCAGCATCCCCCGCTCTCAGCGCTGACAGCGGAATCACTTTAGCAGAGAAAGTCTGGCTGTGCATTGTAGCTCTTCACCTCTGTTGTGTGTCACCTTCTTTTCCATTCTAGGGATGGCTAAAGGCACCTGAAATGGGAATGAGGCTAAGAGGGCCAGCCCCTCAGCCAGCCTACAGAGAGGGGCAGGTGGCCGTGGTCCTGCCACCAGCTGCTTCTCAGGCCTCTGCTCCCCCCGCAGGTGCTGTTTCTGGTGGAGAAGGGAGCCGTGATTGAGCACGTGGACCACAGCGGGATGCGTCCCCTGGACAGAGCCATTGGTTGTCGAAACACATCTGTCGTGGTTACGCTACTCAGAAAAGGAGCCAAATTAGGTTAGTGACCCCGCCTCAGGTCAGCGGAGAGGAGGAGGTTAGATTTTAGAGAACCTTAGGGAGCGCAAAGGCTGCCCTGCTCCCAGGTAAGAAATAAGCTGTCAGATGTTTGGCCACCTCCCTTTCTCATTGAATCACAGTGCAGGAAGAAAGCAGAGGCTGATGTTGAAGGGGGTCTAGCACTGTGTTAGGGACAGCCAGGAGCCACACCAGGGAGCGTGAGATTGGGCTAATCGCAGGGCAAGCGCTGCCGAGCTGCGGGCTTGCCGGTGACTGATGTGCAGCCCAGGCCAAGGACCACTGTTCCAGAGTCATCAGTCAGCCGGGCGGGAGAACGGCCACCCCAGCACAGCTTCTGTGAAGGCGAGGTTGTGTGATTTCACAGAGACAAAACGGAGGTCCCTGGAGGATAGCGGGGGGCTGAGTAGGGAGAGCCCCTTCTGTGTGGCTGGTGGCAACATGACACCCCATTTGGTGCCTGAAGGAACGAGTGACAGAGTGTCACTGTTGCGGTTCCAGATGCAGGACCTTTGGCCAGGGGCAGTTCTGGGCGGGGCAGCGGTGAAGATACTAGCAACAGTCGCAGGAACTCTCCTACATTCACCTTTGCCTGACTCCTCCCCTCCGCCCTGTAAGGAGGTAGCGATAATACCATCACTTTACAGATGAGAAAACCAAGGCACAGAGGAGCTAACTAGCTTCCCCAAGGTCACAGTGAGTGGCCCAGTCACCGTGGGAACCTAGCAGTCTGCGTCCTGGGTCTGCTCTGCACCGCTCCTCCCTGCCGCATCCCAGGAGCTCAGAGGGAGGTGGGGAGAGTTGTGGCCCTGGCGGAGGCTGCGAGAGAGACGAGAGAGACGCTGGCCGGGGGCGGGGGCGGGGGGCCCGGGCCGAGGCAGCCAGAGTGGACCGTGATGGAGACTGCGCAGGGGACTCGGCGCCGGGAACATACGTGGTCGCGGTGGGGGCTGCAGGGAACTAAGGAGAGTACGCAGAGGCCTGGTTTCGTCAGTTTTCCCCCAGTTCCCCCTCGGAAGGGAGGCATGGGTCGTGGCTGCTGTGATGCCTTAGTTTCTCGTCACTTTTTTTCAGTAGAGTAACAAGGACAGATTTGTGCCAGGCACCGTTCCCTTCCTGAGCGCCCGGTTCAGGGTAAAGCAGATGAGAAGCTAAACCAGTTTGCCAGTGTCTTGCTTCCTTGGACAAAGTTGTCTGGAAGCCTGAGACACACAGCAGAGGTCCTTGCCATGGCCTCCTGTGGTTTGTGACGTGCAGCTGTGTTGGGGCCACAGAAGAATTGAGCTCCTTCCCTCGGGACCTCGGAAGTGCCTCTGAATGCGTGTTTATTTTCCAGGAAATGCTGCCTGGGCGATGGCCACTTCCAAACCTGATATTTTGATTATACTTTTACAGAAATTAATGGAGGAAGGAAACGTGATGTACAAAGTAAGTGGTATCGCCCTTTTCTGCGCTGTTGTGCCCGACTCCCAGCAACCTCTTAGCTTGGTGTGTGATGGCCGTGGCCGCGCTGCTGCACCGAGTACACGTAACTTAGTTGTAGGAGAAGTTCCCAGACATGCTGACTGGCCTCATGCCACAGCGTGGTATCGTGACAGCGAAATCTTAAAGGTAGAAAGCGCTTCTCTTTGTGTCTGAGAACCATTGTTTCTGAACCAAGCCTCAAGGCTGTAGCTATGACTTACTGCCTGAATCCGAGGAGAGTCACCTCTAGGTCAATTGACACGTCATATGGGGGTTCCTTAGCCTTCCACATTCCCTCAGCGTGCAGAGCACCATGCAGTGGACACCCACGAAACACTTCAGAAGAAAAGAATCTTTCAGTCTCCCAAACCTTTACTATCTAATTTTTAACATCTATAAACTTCTGGGATTTAAAACTGTTTTAGAGATATTTTTACTTAATATAGCCAAGTAATACATAATATTCAGGAGACTGGATTTTTTTCCATTGGAAATGGAAATATGGTTTATAGATTAACGAACTTGACTAAACTTTTCAAAATAAGGCACCAGTTTAGATCAGAAGTCAGCAGACTTTTTCTGTGAAGGGCCAGACAGTAGGTATGTTAAGCTTTGCAGACTGTGCAGCCTCCGTCACAGCTGTGCAGCTCTGCTGTGGTGGCTCAAAAGCAGCCACAGAGAATACATGCGGATGAGCCTGCCTACATCCCGATAAAACTTTATTTGTAAACACAGGTGGCCGCCAGATCTGGCCTGCAAGCTGTAGTCTGCCAACCCCTGGTTTAGGTAGATGTGGACCATTTACATAGATCACTGTTCTTTTCAGATATATGATTAGACAGAATTAAAAGATTATGGGGAAAAAACTAGATTATGACTGTTTTAATCCTTTTTACTATTAGGCAGCTGTACTTGCTATGTTGTAGGTTTTTTTCCTTTTCATTTTTTTAATAGTAACAAGTAAATAGGTAATAGTGCATGACCCAGCAGGGTTCCTGGCTTGGAATCAGTTTGAAATTGAGTTGAGAGTGTGTATTGTTGTGGCTTTGAGTGCTTTTAATACAGAGTGTGGTAGGCAATTATGTCAGAAATACCCAGCCTTTTTCAACAGGCTTCATACCTGCTGTGCAGCAGGACTGGCTGAGCAAATGGATTTCGTTAGCATTGAAAATGGTGTGTGGAGCTGTTCTGATTTTTAAAGCCCGTGCTTTAGTTCCTCTTAAAAATTGTTATTCTGCAGCAGGCTCTAGGTTTATCCACAAGACTCTACTTGTCCTAGGAACTGCATCGTTTTTTCATCTGATTTCTATTACACTTGGCATTAAAATATCTTTACATGAGAGATCATTCTTGAAATAATTTTCAAAAATATATAACAGAAGATAATCCAATGCATTAAGATTGATAGTTATCAGTTTGGCAGTTTACAAACACCTTATTGTAAACCTGTCCTCTTTCTTACTGTGCGTAACCCCATGTCGCAGATGCACTTCAGGGCGGTGAAGCCCGAGCGCGTTCAGGCCGGTCAGTGTCCTGGTTCCTACCTTGACACTTACTCATTAAGATACTTTCAGTACGCTGTAATGGTTTTGCATGGGGGAATAAACTCCCCCAGGGTCTTCAGGGTGTGGGAGCTTATTCGTTTTAGAGCTTCTGAAAAAAGGATAAATTTTTGTGATTTCGAATCCTAGAAAGGGAAGATGAAAGAGGCAGCCCAGAGGTACCAGTATGCCTTACGGAAGTTTCCTCGAGAAGGATTCGGAGAGGACATGAGACCGTTCAATGAGTTGAGAGTTTCGCTCTATCTCAATTTGTCTCGATGCCGACGAAAAACAAACGTAAGCCACGCCCCCTTACTCCAATCCAGTCCTCCAGCAGTAGAGCTTTTCCCCCCGTGGTGAGGGCCTGCCTTTCTGCAGACCAGGCCACAGCCCCTCCTGTCTCACTGCTCGTGCCTGCGTGTGAACCTGCCAGCCGGGAAGCTGCTCCTCTTGGATGACCGTCATTGGTCACTGTCCCTGCACACCTCTCAGAATGTGCTCAGGTTCCATTTCCTTTGCTTCAGTGGTGGGAAGCAAGTGCAAACCGCTCTTCTACACTAACTTTAAAACAAAATAAACAGAAAAACGTACCTTGCTCTTCGTTGCTCTCTAGTTACGCCCCATGCTCTGCTACTCTTTAGAGCAAAATGCCTGTGATCATGTTTCAGTGCTGCTTTTGACTCACGTATTTAAATATTGACCCCAGGACTTCGGCATGGCAGAAGAATTTGCTTCCAAGGCTCTTGAATTGAAACCCAAGTCCTATGAAGCCTTTTATGCCAGGGCAAGAGCAAAGAGAAATAGCAGGTACTGTCTGAGGTTATCCACGTGACGAGGGGGCCTTTTTTTTCCATAGGATCAAACGCACCAGTTGAATTTGGGGAGGTTTTGCTTCAGAAGGGTTGCTCAGATGCCTCCCATCCCTTTAAATACTAAATGACTAGCTTCCAGAAGGCATGGTAGTGAATGTTTGTAGTGATGGGTAAACTTGTATTTTCTCCCGACATCTCAGTAAATGTTCCTCCCCACCTGCACCCCCAGTTGAGATGCCTGCAACCTAAAATTCCTGGTTTAGTCCATATTTCAGTGAACTGCCAACTAGGGGCATTAGGGCATGGAGGGAAGGAGAAAGATCGAATAAGATTTCTGAGTTAGAGGTGAGTGGGGACAGGGGGATGGTGAAGATAACATTAAAAGGATTCTGGCGCCTGATGATTTATGTCCACCCTCATTCCCAGTCCAGTGGTCTGGCGTCATGCCGGTCTGGGTTAGAATTCAGCACTGCCGCTTAGCGGAGTAACTGTGCACTAGCTAAACGGGTCCTGGCTACCACAGGAAGTGTTCCCAACTTACTCAGGTGCCTTCACTTTGAGCACAGCTATTTTATGGACAGTTACATTCAGGCATGGCTTATAATTATAACTTACGTTTTCCTTTAAAGGCAATTCGTGGCAGCTCTGGCTGACTTGCAGGAGGCTGTGAAACTCTGTCCTACCAACCAGGAAATCAAGAGGCTTCTGGCCCGTGTAGAAGAGGAATGTAAACAGCTCCAGAGGAGTCAACAGCAGAAACAGCAGGGCCCACCCCCAGCTCCACCCAACGACTCAGATAATGAAGAGGATGCCCCGACCTGCGGGTTAAACGACCACTTTGATCTTGAGGAGGCTGAAGAGGAAGAAACTTCTCCACAGGAAGAATCTGTTTCCCCGACTCCCAGGCCCCAGCCGTCCTCATCTGTCCCCTCCCCATATATCCGAAACCTTCAAGAAGGACTGCAGTCCAAAGGACGGCCAGTGTCCCCCCAGAGTAGGGCGGGAATCAGCAAGCCCCTGAGGGAACCCGTAGCCCAGCCAGGGCTGGTCATGCAGCCCACCAAACAGGCACAGATAGTGAAAACCAGTCACCATCTGGGTTCTGGACAGTCTGGCGTGAGAAGCAGCAGCACAAAGATGCAAATCTCTTCTCAGAATCCTCCCCCGAGTCCCATGCCAACTAGAATCGCTGCAGCTCCTGCTGGGAGCAGAAACCAGCATTTAGAGGGAACGGGCGCTTTCACTCTAGGAGCTGCTCCTGGCCACTTTGGGGATCGGCTGGGCCCCAGCCAGAGTGTCCACGTGCAGCGCAGTGAGAGTGGCACTGCATACCCTTTACCGAGCAAGGTAAAAACTGCAGAGAGGCTTCTGTCTTACGCCTCCATGGCCGTGGACGTAGCCCCTCCAAACCAAGGTGGGCCAGCAAGCTGCAGTGACGTGCGACACCCAGCTTCCCTCACCAGCTCAGGCTCCTCTAGTTCTCCATCCAGCAGCATAAAGATGTCAAGTTCAACCAGTAGTTTGACTTCAAGCAGCAGTTTTTCAGATGGCTTCAAGGTCCAAGGACCGGATGTTCGAATTAAAGACAAGGTTGTAAGCCAGGTTCAGAGCGGTACAGCAGAGCACAGACCTCGCAATACTCCATTCATGGGCATCATGGACAAGACCGCGAGGTTCCAACAGCAGAGCAATCCTCCGAACCGCACCTGGCACTGCCAGGTGGCAGAGGGGCTCCTGACAAACACATCTGCAGCTGGCCTGCAGTCCCCGAACTCTGAGAAGCCCTCTCTCAAACAAGGAGGAGGATATAATAGCCAGGCAAAACCCTGTCCTGTTTCTACCCTGAGTGGAAGTGTCCACAATGGGGCACAGGTGAAGGAGCTAGATGAAAACAAGTGCCAAATTCCAGTCCACTGTCAAGAGAACAGGATAACTAAGACTGTCTCTCATCTGTGTCAGGAAAGTATCTCCAAACAGCAGCCTCATATCAGTAATGAAGCCCACAGGAGCCACCTCCCTTCAGCGAAACCAAAGAGATCGTTCATAGAGTCAAACGTGTGAGCCTTAAGAGAGACCCATTCAGAGAATGTGGAAAAGTGTATTAGCTCCCGGTGGTAATAATTAAATGTTTTTTTCATCCAAAAAATTATTTTTTAGCCAGTTTCTTTTTTCCTCTGGGGCAGATCTGATGCCATTGATATATTTAAAATGTGGGATAAACTTCCTTAAATAGCTAGAAGTCACCATAAATAAAAATGCTAAACAATTAAAAACTATAATTAACTGTACCTATCAAGATAAACATTTAAGACAGCCAGGAAGACATTAAGTCATGCTTTTCTCCTATGAAATTATTTGGTGTTTATCACTTTTCTCCTAGCCTTTGCTATATGGTAAATTCACAGTATTAGAGAATAAAAAAGTCTATTGGTAAAGAGTGATAGGTTTATTAATTATTCACATAATATCTAAGTGATGTATTCTGGAAAAGATGGACTTTTCCAGTTACAGTTCCACTGAGACAAATCCCAATTTATATAAAAAATTAAGATCTAAGTGATTTCTAGCTGAACATAAGCGTGACTACAAACATAATATAGCTGTTTTTTTTAAGCAAAATAAGAGGACACCCAAATATTGTTCCCTTCATAGCAGTTCCTTTAATAAGATTAAACACTTGTTTCTGTTATGGTTCTTAATCAAAATGTTTTTGTAGCACCTTTTTTGGAAGGAACTATATTCATCCTTGAAGGTGTTTCTGATATTTGGAAACAGTATAAGCCATTTAGAGTCATGACTGGTGGGTGGTCAAGTGGATCTGAGCTAAAATACTAAGACCAGCAGCATTCTTAGTGGCACTTACAAATTAGCTCTCAGCTGGGTCCCATACTGCTTTTTAGCAATGATAGTGCTGGAACAACCCTTCCAAGGTCCTTTAAGGACAGCGGTTAATTTGGATACTTAAGGTATGGTTGGTTGGTTGTTGCTTTTGTTTTGTTGTACAATCAGTACTTTATATTAATAGTCACATGTTGTATATATTAAATAGCCTAGTTTTATTCAGAACTGTAAATATAACTAGTTCAAATTAGTTAATCTAAAAACAAAACCCCAGTCATATATTTGCATGTTCTTTGTGAGCTTCGTCCATGCTGGTTATTGCACTGAATGATATATTATTATGGCATGTTAACAGTATACCAATAACGGCACTTTATCTCGTTTATATGAACACCTTTGAGGTGCTTCTTAAGTCCAAACTGATGTATTATTCATTTGTAAAGATAAGGTACAGGAATGAACCTTGGTCTAAAGGTATTTTTATATGAAAATGGTGTTATTGGAGGATGTTAAAATGCTAATTTGAGAGGAGTGGGAGTGTATTCGTTTTATATGTTGGGATGTGAAATTTATTTTCTAGAATTGGGGAGAAGGAAGTTCTATATTTGCAGAATGTTTTAAAAATGAATAGTCGTAATGAAGTTCCTGTGAACATCATTACGGTTTTGTACGAATAGGAACCTTCTGGTGTCATTCAGCATTTGTTCCTGAGTGTGTATGTACAGTGTACTTTGTACAAACAGCTTTATCTTTTTTATAGGCTTTCCCCGAGTTCTGCTATAACTACTATGGCTTATTTATTGTTTCCTTTAATATTTGTGAAAGTCTTACTCTTTTGTTATGTAGTTTTGTTTCTGCACAACTACTGTACCTTTCCATATGGAATAAAGACTTAATAAGAATTTGCTTTGCATTAAATGTGTCAATGGGTAAGTAAAGAATATCCTGTTGGCAACTCTCTGCCTTGCTTAATCCTTGTTACCCTAAAGAAAATAGTAAAAGCGTATTTTAATACTACCTAAATGCATATTTAATTTCATTTTATAATAATTTGAGAATAAGGGTGGCAGCTTCTAGAAATTCCATCCTATTCAAGGGTCAATTTAGTCTTTGTGCCTGAAAAAGGAAGAAAGCATGAAGAAAAGCAATCTATAATTTCTTACCTATTTCAAGAAATCTTGCTTTGTCTGTACTAGCAACAAGATATCTTTAACAGTAATTCTAAGCACTTTGGCAATACACTGAACACTGTTATGACAGTTTGTTCTTCAGCACTTTTGATTTCAGTTCAAAGTGTGTTTTTATGCCTACATATTTCAGTTTCAAAGCAGTATGAGAGTGAACATTAAAACTGTCGTGATAAAATTCTTACTTGGAATCTTAAGTGTACTATTACTTCAGGTTATTGTCTGGTCACTGTTCTTGCTAGCAAGTCTAAGTATTTTCAGTCCTTTAAAGCTACATATTTAATGAAAGGTTAAAACCAAAAATAAAACAGGGCAGGAGGGAAAAAAGTGTTATATCGGCTAATACATAATTCTTGTCATTAGGTGACTTTTCCCATAAAGCAGCTAGTGAGAGTATTATCATTCATTATTTGTTAAATTATGGTAAGCTACTTGACGCCATCGCCCCAGGAGGAGGTGAAGTATCCTGGGAAGCTACTAGTCAATCCCTGCAGAATGGGTGGCAGGCAGGTGGCACAGCTCCCACATGGCCCTGAACTACCACGGGGGCCTGAGGGTCCAGCACAGGGGCTGTGGTCGTGTCCCTTCCTATTGATGATTTTGTATTTGGTTTTTGTTTGCTTGTGTGGAAGAGGGAGTTGTCTGTCTTTGGTTTGTGTGTTTGTTTTACACAAAAACCAGAGGTACTTCAATTTGGTAAACAGTATGTTAGTTTTCAGTAATTTTGTTTTACAAGAAACTATCCTGTTGAAACATGGAAGAGCAAAGCACCTTTAACACATCTAAAAAATAACTACTTTCTAAATTGTGTTTTCTAGCAATGACTTCCAATGATTTTTTAGTAATTTTTCTGTAATAACCAGCCTACCTCCTTTAGAAAATAAGTCTTATTTATCAAAACAAAAATGCCGTTGGTCCAATAGTGGGCTTTTTTAAATTAAAAGTCTTCTGATAGAATTGTTAGCATACTTTCTCTATAGAATACAATAGAAAAACACCCAGAACATGTTGCCAGTCTTTTTGTCCTCTAGAATCATAGACTGAATCCTAACTATGACATGAAGGAAATAAAGTTCAGTAATACATTAAGTTTTTACAAAGCAGCAATTATAAAGAAAAGTGTATTTGGAGATTTCTGTGGTAGCTAGGTTTGACTAATATATTTACACTGCTTTTCCCCATTTATTGCTGAGTTTTAAATTCTGAACAACTGTGAAGAGAGTTTGGGGTGACAGTACACAGGGGGATGAAGACACAGTCCTAGTCCCTGCCTGCCCTGCAGTTTGGTTCCAACGTGCTGCCCACCAATGGCTTCCATCCTGGTAAGCAACTTTCGACAGGTACATAAGAAATCAGTACAACCTTAACTTCCTGAACTTGAAATTTTTTTCTCAGTGAACGCTTGTCAGGGTGTTGTATAAAAATGCTTTTGTATAGTCACCCTAGCTTAGAATAATATGTGAAAATTGTAAGAATTCTAAATTCTGAAAGGAGGCTAGTTTGCCACTTTACATACTTCAGCAGTCGACTTGACTTATTCATAATTTATTTCATCTAACTTGTACCTAGGTTCGGACAATGGAAAAGAAATTACCATCCTGCAAATTTAGAATCCAACAAAACTGCTTATTTAAACATGTCTAAAGGGATTTTCTCAACTTAATCATAAACAATCTATAACCATTTTGCTATAAATTCTCTTAAAACTTATCAAATGAATGGCTATTAACTAGGATATAAGCATCCATTATATTCCAATCTTTAGTTATGAAGAGGTATGACCTATACTTAAGAATAAATCTGGGCACTGCAATTTAAAATCAAAGTAAACTTTATTTCTATACAGCTTAAGATTTTTTTTCACTAGTACAAAAAGGTTTTTATAATAAAAATACAAATGAGGTTAGATGTGTAACTTAGTTCCTGTGTTTTAAAGAATGAAAATTGACAATTTTTACAGGTAACTAAATTTACCTTTTTGTTTTGCTTTTAATGTGTCTAATTAGTATTTACCTTTACATCATTCAAGTGAGATCACTGAAAAATAAAAGCAATATAAACAATTTTACTTTTGATGTGTCTCAAGCCATCGATTGATGGCCATTTTCAGAGTCCTATTTGGTGTAAGTACCACTGAAGGAAGAATAAGATTTGTCATTGGACTTGTACGTTTCTTTTTGCTGATCCAATTTTCCATTGCTTCTCTTTCATACGAATAGCCATCTAAAAAAAAAACACAAATTATTTGTGATGTAGAAAAGGGAATTTAGGATTACTAAAATGAATTGAGTATAAACACTTCATTGCCAAGGCCTTTATTGTGATTTAAGTGGTATTCTTTATTGTACCATCACTACCAAAATATCTCTGCCACAACACCTGAAATTCTACCGTTTGAGATGCATTAAGATTGGATAGCACTGTATGAAGTATAAATTATCTATAACAGTTTCATTATAAGTTCTTTTTGAACACTACAATTGAGACCACGACAATGAAAAATTCAGACACAGTGGAAAAGAAGAAAGGAACAGAGCTGGGTAGAGTGATAGTGAAGATAAACTGCCCCATTATAGCTATTAGCTATGTGTGTAAATTAATTTGGCTAAAGATGAAAAGGGAAAAGAGCCTTAGGAATAACTCAGCAAAACTTCCCAAGACATTGAAAAGTCAGGAGAACAGGGACACAGATGTTATAGAATTTGCCCCACTAAGGATTTTAAGGATTTCACAGTAAAGGGATTTGTGATGCCAAAAAAAAAAAAAAAATCTGGCCAAGGCTTAATACCATGTCCTTATGGGCCAGGCACGGTGGCTCACACCTGTAATCCTAGCACTGTGAGAGACCAAGGCAGGAGGATTGCCTGAATTCAGAAATTCAAGACCAGCCTGAGTTAATGTAAGACCTTTCCTGTACTAAAAATAGAAAAATTAGCTGGGCATGGTGGCATGTGCCTGTAGTCCCAGGTCCTTGGGAGGCTGAGGCAGGAGGATTGCTTGCGCCCAGGAGTTTGAGGTTGCAGTGAGCTATGACGACGGCAGGGCACAGAGTGAGACTCTGGTTTTTACAAACAAAACCAAAAAAAAAAACACAAAACCATATTTTTGCAAAATTCTTTGCCTTTACATATGTGAAAATCGGACGGGTTTTGTTGGTTTTTCTTTTTTTGGAGACAAGGTCTTGCTCTTTCCCAGGCTACAGTGCAGTGGCATTATCATAGCTCACTGTAACCTCAAACTCCTGGGCTTGAGTGATCCTCCTGCCTCAGCCTCCCAAAGTGCTAGGATTACAGGCATGAGCCATGATGCCTATCCTAAGACTGGAGTTTTGCTCCACTACTTTCGTTTTTATACTTGTAGCTCTTTCTCTTAAGCTGAAAAAAATCTTGGTTCCCGTTTACATTTAAACATTAACCTATTTTGCTTTTTCTACTATATACGTTTCAAAATAATGCCAATATAGTACTAACATAAGACTGTGAAAGAAATTTAAGATTGCTCTGTGGTTTTTTTCTGTCATTAAAGCTAGATCCACTAGGGTGGTCTAATCAAAATACCATGTTTGAAAAGCACATTTGAATGAGTCTGAAGTAAAACCAAAAACAAGATAAATTCAGAGGAGTCTAATCTAGCCCTGTCCCATCCTTGTTCCCACCCTTCCCATGAGTAACCATATCAGTTTTTCTTTTCCTTTTTGAAAACATAAGCAGATGCATATGTATACAGAGTATACATACATTCTCCATAAAAGCTAGCATACTGTACCCTTTTGCACCTTAATGTGTTTCTCCACCCACTGTACTACACTGTGTGGATGCACTGATGGACATCTGGGTTGTTTCCAATCTTTGCCTTTCACAAACAGTGCTGCAATGAACAGCCTTGTGCATGTGTCACTTGTACTTTGGGGAGATTCCAGAAGCAGGATTGCCAAATCAAAGAGTAAATGTACATAATCTTGCTATATATTAATAGTGCCAACTTCCATATTTCATTCCTACTAGCAATGTTTGTGACAGTGCCTTTTTTCCCTACAGCCTAACAGAATGTTGTCAGACCCTTGGATTTTTACCAATTTCCAAGTGAGCAGGGGTATGTATTGAATGGTATGTCAGGGAACATTTTTTTCATATTTTTTGCCCATTCTTTGAGGTTGTCTTTAATTTATGAAGATCTCATATACATGGAATGTTCATCAATTTTCCCTTGAGTGCCGGTTAGGAAGGTTTTCCCCATTCCATCAAGGAATTCACCTGCATTTTCTTCTGGGACTTGAAAAGATTCATATATTTAAATTTCTTATCCATTTGGAATTAATTTAGATGTACAGTATGAGGGATGGATCCAATTTTATCCCTTTACACATGGTTGTTGTCAGAATACCACTTAAAATTATTTTTACTACTGATTTTAAATGCCTTTTATTATTCACTAAGTTTTCAAATGTACCTGGATCAATTTCTAGATTTTTAAAGATTATTCTCCATTGTTCTATTCATGTGCTAATATAACATCTTCTAGTATCTGGTAGGGCTGGCAACCGTACCCATTTTTCTTCAGGATATTTCACTGCTTATTAGGTTCCATTTGAGTCACCGTCTGTAACTCTAGGGAGAAAGTGTGTTATCAGAATCATGTTAAATTTATAAACTGGGGAAAACCGACATCTTGCTGACACCTGAGTTTTCTATCCATCAGCATGGTATGCTTCC